CAAAAACAATTGTCATCTTCAAGTCAAGAGATGTTAAGATGTTGATCAACAGATAGGAATTGAACATTTCAACTAATTGTTTGATTAACAATCATTGAATCTTGAGATTCATCAAAATTTGATCTAAAATTAGAGCCAATATTTGCAAAGACTGAGTCGCCTAGACAAGATCATTTGATATTTACCTTACAATATGAACCAAAGTGACTCTAGTCAACATTTTACTGAACCAATATTTAATAAATCAAACTCCAGATTTTAAAATGAAACTAATTGCTTGTCGCGATAATTATGATAGTAAATTTTGAAGACAATTAGCAATAAAAGAAGGTTAAAATACTGAATAAAGGGTTGAAATGAGCAGCTGAACGAGTTGATAAATAATTAGCTAAACATTTGTTGAACTGTTTCAATATGTTTTGTTGAGCAAATCACTATTTCCCTTTGATTAGGTTAAAGAGTTGAAGAGATGCTCAAGGCAATCAGCATCATGGTCTTCATTAACCATCATTGTAATTATTGATCATGAGAATGGGTAAAAATAGCTCTGATACAGTAAACAAGAAATATTTTTCACCAATTTGAATAATCAGTTGAAGTTGATCATCAATAATTGTCTTGTCAACAATTGAGTGAGAAAATAATATCAAATGATAATTGGTTAAATAGAGATGAGCATTAGACAAACAGAGGTAGAAACAAGTTGCTCAAATTATCCTCATCATGAACATTTCATTATGAAATAAAGATAATGATGATGATAAAGGTAATAACAATGATAATTACAATTGGTTACCATTAATTATCTGGCGAATCAAAAAGAAAGAATCAAAGGTAATCAAAGGGATAATCAAACAATTTAAAACAGTGTAACGTGTAAAATTGTGATAAAATAATGTTGAGGCCCAACAAAAACAACTTTGATTTTGTTATTTTTGTTCATTTCTGAAAGATACAGAAATTACCTTTTTCATTGGAGATTCAATGGTGAGATGATCAACAAGTTAACAAGAAATTAACTTTTCTTTTTTTCGTTTTTTTTCTTCTTCAGATGACAAGAAGAGAAATGAAGAAAAGGGTTGAATGGACGTTAGATGAGAAGATAGTAAATACGGCGAAATGAGAAATGAAGATGAAATGATCTTTCGGAGGCCAATTTTAAGGCTATAAATCAAGGTGAGCAGAGAAGCTGCATTTGAGGTTGATAGAAATATGTGTTTGTCTTAAGACATAAAAGATGAAAATGAAGGTAGAAAAGGGTAAAAGCTGAAGAAAAAGGAATCTTAATCTTTCATTTTAATTGGTTTTCATGTCTCTTTGAGAAGGTACAAAACTGTCATTGAAAGAAAAGGTAAAAAGAAGAAAAAGATTTAAGTTGGAAATCTGTTCTGAAACAAAATAATCAACTCAATTGGAAGACAAATTTCAACGATATTTGTGATCATAAAGGAGAAACTGAATGATGATAATCAGGATAAAAAAAGAGGGTAAAATTGATTGAAAAAAAACCTGATTTCCTATGGTAATGTAAAGCTATCTATTTGTCTTTGAATATGAAAATAACGTAAACACGTTTACATTTTTTTTACTCAAAATCACAAGATTTGGTCTTATTATTGAGTCAAATGGTTTTAATAATGACCTCGAAGTAAACTATTAACGGTAATCCATGAGATAAACAACAATTTCAAGATTATCTTTGGACAAGAAATGAGCAAATGTTTACGATTTGATGAAAGATTTTAACATTTAAAGTGGAAATCATTGACAATCAACTTTTGTTGGTGGCGAGATGAAAACAAGTTGTGATTCAGTTTGATTATGATTGATTTAAAATGAATTGATGATGATAATGATGATGAGCGATGAAAGGTTGGTTGAAATGAACAATCAAACTGGTAACATTTAAATTGAAACGGAACAAATTTGATCCATGAAATGGGAAGAGAAGCAAAACATTTTACAGTTTAACAAATTGTTGAGAGTTAACTTGATAACCTTTTGGATAAGTAAAGCAGATTAAAGGTCGCATAAGGCAAGTGATTAACAATCAATGGATCACAGTGGGTTAATGATTGTCTTAAATTGTCTTAAAAGCAAGAGGATAATAATGGACCTTTGAGGGAAGAATCAGATTAGATTAACTGTTATATTCAATTCATCATGAAACCCAAAATTGATTGTCAAAAAGAGAATCAAAAAGGTCAACTTCAATTTTTTTCTGGTAGTTGAGAGTAGCAGATGATGGCCATTTCATGTCTGGATATTAAAACAAAATGTGACCAGAATATGTTAACTGAATAAAAAGCCAAGCCCAATTCACAAATGAAAGATGATTCCAGTGAGATTCTTAAATGATGTTGATGAACAAATAATATGCTTCTGGCTATTGAAAGGAGTGCGAAGTAACCTTTTCAATTTGTAATATAAAAGGCAAACTTTAGTGACAAATGTTTCCAGCATTTTCAAGTAAAAGTTGATTAAAAATGATTAATAGCAATTGATAGTGCACACAATAATGACCGGTAAAACAAAATGGTAACAATTGTGATTTGCAATTAAATTAAAAAGTAACATTAAAGTAAACGATAAAATGGTTTCAATCGTAAAATGGTTCAACGATTAAATTGTAACAAAAAAACACATTCACCTGGCTTTTCATGAGATAAACTGTTTTAAACAGGAAAATCATTTTCCAATTCAATTGACAAACGTTCAATTGTTGAACAAATCAACAATCAAGGAACCTCAAATTGGAATAATTTATTAGCCAAAAAGAGGAGTAAATGATGGGTTAAGTTACCTGAATCATGGTGGGCCAAGAATCTGGATAAATGATAAATCTTTTCAACCTGACATTGCTAATAACAGTGTTAGGTTAAAAAGGTGATTTATCCAAGGCAAAAGGTTAGGAACAATGATTTTTGGTTAATTAATTGCCTCAATGGTCAAATGGTTTGAGTTATTCAAAATTGATTAACTTGATTTGGAAAGTTGAAATTTTCAGTTTTTCAGGTAAAATCAAGAAGATAAATAATTATAATGTTTAAACGTTAATTTTTTTGTACATTTAATTATAAGTTGTTTAGAGTAGCAAAAAAAAGAGTAAAGTTTAAATGAGTTGGAAATGATACGATGATGATGATGAAAAGTCAAAAGATATTGCCCAAAGGAACAGATTATTAGATCTAAAGGGTTGATAATCATCTTGATGATGATGATGAGAGAAAATATAACAAAATTTTCCCCAAAAATGATAAATTTTTGGTGCAATTTCATTCAACTGATGACTATCAATGGCAAGACGAAGAGACGAGAAAGAAGTAAAAATTTGAGTGAAAAAATTGAAGTAAAAAAAAAGGTAAAACAAGTTGACAGAAAATGAATGAGAAAATGAAATTAAATTGATAAGCTAATCAATTTGCAAGCAATTTATCGATGATTAATATGCATTTAAATTGATTAGTTCTGTTATTAGATATTGAAATTGGTGGAACAATAAAGTGACCAGAAAAACAAAAACCTGAAAAGTTGAAGTAAAAGGACAAATGAAAGTAACGATAAAAGGTGATAAGTTCATGGTAAAGCAAACAACATTAAAATGAATAATAATGATAATTACAATGGAATTGATATTATCATAATAATTAATAATAATGATTATTAATGGCACTAATAATCGGGTTTTTATCAAGCAAAAAGTTGATTAACGCAAAAAGAAAAACAATTTTATTGCTCACAACTTTTTGTTGTTGTTCATCTTTTTGCTTCAATTCTCATCCTCACCTTTATATTAATCTTAATCATCATTATAAGTGTAATTTCAAGTTCAAGATATAAATTCAGGTAAAACTCTAATTGGCAAGTCTAATGAATAAAATAAGCGTGAGAAAGTGCTAACACTCAAATCATCTACATCATCATAATAATCATCATAATCATCATCATCTCTGTCTAAATATTTTTACCCGTTTAACCCTTAAAGTTATAGGGAAAGTTGAAAGGGTTGAACAAGGATTTCCCTATAAAATGAAAGACCAAATTCACCAAAAAATTGTTTTAATTAGCTAATTCAATTTGGCCTGGAAAAAGGCTTTCTCAAATTGAGTCAACACATTAACATGATTAAAAGTGAAATTGTCAAAGATTGAACAAGACGACTCGGAATACCATGGAAACAAGTTATGGAGCAAGAATTTTGATATTAACAGAGGAAACTGGAAAACGTAAACAATGTTATTAATTGTAGCTCCAGGTTACGGATATGCGAGTAGTTAGTCAATGGATTGCAAATGGATGGCCATTCCAGGTTTAACCATTTTTTTGTTTGCTAAAGGGTTGTGTATCAGTCTTGTGATTGGTTATTGTAACTCATGAGATTAATTTGTTATCCATGGTCAATGATTTTTACATTTTGTTTTTTGTCCAACTAAATTATATAATCAACTAATTGTTAACAATATTGTAATGTTCACTTGGAAAAAGGTGATTAATGGATTATTTGCTGGTTCAAATTGTTTCATGGTTTGGTGTTTTTTTGTGGTCAGAAGTCACTTTATCAATTAGATTGTTATTTTGGGCAAATATTTAGAGATTTAAAGGTTTTTGCTTCTTCTAAAGATCACAATTTGATTTGGGATTAGCTTAGATTGAAATCTATGTGAATTGATGTGAGTTTTTTTTGGAAATTCATTTACCTTGTGAATTTATTAATACATTTGAATGGTTTACTTTTTTTTGCTGGTCAATAAAGAATAAAATTCATTCAAATCTCACGGATAATCTCATGATAATGAGACTAAATTCTTGACCTTATTAAGGGTGTGCTTTGATTGGTATTGGTTGTAGGTAGGAAAGTGGATTAGGATGGTTAATCTTGGTGTGATTAGGTTGGAATGGTTTACATGATAAGATGGGAATTTTCAATCTCTTTTTGCCTTTTTTTAGTTGATTATTTTGTTCAGTTGGTAATGTTGGTTTAGTGTTATAAAGGTACAAACCTTCATTGGTGAACATGTTTCGGCAAAGTGATCTTTCTAGAGTTTCAATGTTGGGGCAACCAAAGTTGGCCATTGAGGCAGCAAAAGAGGCAAACTGGTGGTTTCCACTGGCAAAGGCAATGTATTTAAGAGTCTCCTGCATGAGAGTGGGAAATGAAACTGCTGCAGTGGCTGCAACAGCCGTTTGAGCATTAAGAACTTCTTGAATGGTCAATCCAGATGGTACTCGTGGTGAAATGATTGGGGTTACATCTGATAACAAAGGTCCACCAAGTTGACCTGAAGAGGGTGGTGATAATCCTGCGGATGACGATGAACCTGAGGTGTGATGTTGATGGGCTTGAGCTTGAACTTGGTGTAATGAGGATTGATTTGAATTGGCATCTCGATTGGCGTTAATACTATTAACATTGTTGGTACTATTAAGATTGTTGGCATTGTTGTTGCTATTATTATTTGATTGATTAGAGTTATGAAGGTGAGAGTGATGATGGCGATTGGAATGGTGATGAGGATGGTGATGGTGTGAATGGTGATGTGAATGGTGTCCATGATGATGGTTGGAACTATTGTTATTATGTGAATTGATAAAATTGGATGAGGCTGTTGATCCATTACGAAGTAAACCCACGGAACCCGAACCCGTGGCACCAGGTACACCACCAATTCCTGCCTCAGCTGGATGATTATGCTTGTTATTGGCCTTTTTCACACGATTATTAACAGTCACTGCACGACCTGGACATTGACGATCACGAGAACAGCGCCAATAAACAGTTCCATCTTTACCATCACGTACTTTGTTATATCTATGGCCTTCGTAGACAAGAGCTATTCCACCTCGTTGAGTCGCTACATATTGGCACTCCATTGCATCAGTGAATCAAATTTAACTCCCAATAAACGATATATATTAACATAAGCACATAAAGAGGTAAACAAAAGGGGAAAACAAATAAAAAAAAGAGTAAAACCAAAACAGCAAGGAATCAAGAAGATTGGATCATCTTGATTGTAGAAAAATTTAGGTAAAAACAACTTGTAAACAGTTTAACGAATCAATCACGGTAAGATAAGTTTACTACTAGCAATTGACTGTAAATTGTTGCCAAATTTGATTCCAACAATAGGAAGAAGCAACAACAAAAAAACAGAAACAACAAGAAACTTTTAACCAGCAACAGCAAGAACGTGTTATTGATAATGATAATTGACTGGTTCCAACTACATTTGTTGATGATATGTCCAATGATAAATATAAGGCCACTAAATAAAGTCACAGTGTAAGGTAAAAAAAAGGTGTAGAAAAGAGGTTGAAAGTGAAGATGACACAGAAAAAAAAGGACAAAAATGAAACAAGAAAAGGGACGAAGAAAAAAAATACGGTGTCGATAGGGTTTCACTTAAGTTGAATTGAACACATAATTGGCTCAAAAAAGTGTATAAAAGTGTATTTATCTGTATACATCAATGTTACTGAAACAGAAAAAAAGAGAGAAGAAGAGTGAGGAGAGAAGATTGGCCCTCCGGGTAAATTAAAAAAACGAACCAGGCCCAATAAACAACCCTCTCTACTCCTCTTTCTCTTTCTCTTTCTTTTCCACTCTCCCGCTCTCTTTATTCAATATCAAAATAATCAACCGGACAATTTTAAAATTATTTGATCGCCCTCTGTTGGTCATTAAATCAACAGTTAACAGTTAGTTTGTTTGCATATAAATAAATAGTCACAGTGTGAGAGGTCGCGCTTTTTTCTGATTTTTTAATTTCCAACGTTTTTTAATTTCTGTTTTTTTTTTCATTTCTGTTTCCATTTCCATTTCCATATCCATTTTATTTTTATTGTTTACTTAAACTGCTTGAAATGAGTGATCCAGTGGCGGAATCCGAACCTTCAACGAGCACTCAACAAAAGGATGCGAAGGAAGAAAAGGATGGCAAGGAAGAAACGAAAGTGAAGACTATTTATGACGTTGATGTGGATCCAATGATTATTATTTTTGGGAAATTGGATGTTCGGAACAGGACGAGATGTGAGCGAGTTTGTCGACTGTGGAACGAAATTGTCATGCAGTGCTGGCAGTCGACGCAATTACTGGCCTTCGAGAATTCTTTCAATATTTGGAGGGACGAATCAGGACAAATTCTTGATACATTGACACTGACCAAAATCCTCAGCAAGTGTCCAAACGTGAAAACAATCAACTTGGAGCAAACAGCAACCAACTTTGATGAAACAATTTTTAATGTCATTGGCCAGCACTGTCCGCATCTTCAAAAATTGATCATGAAACATAAAAATCTTAGCAGATACAATATCGCAAACCTCGGCAGAGCTTGCCCATCAATTAAATCAATCGATTTCAGCAACTGTAACAACATCAGTGAAAGAAGTTTGCAGGAATTGTTGGAATTAAGACCCGATCTTGAATCTATTTCTCTCAGCCAAGTCGACAACATCACTGGGCGGTGTTTTGATTTATGCACTAATCTTTCATACCTGGATCTATTAGGTTGTTCCTCGGTAAGTTTTACACAGTGAAGACAGTGCGTCTTTATTTAATTGTAGCAAATTTTAATTTTCTAATGATTTACTTTTCTAGATTGTTACAGATGCATTTTCTAGGCTTGGTCAAAACTGCTCTCAAACTTTGAAAACATTGTTGGCACCTTCTTTGACCCAAGCCGGATACGAAATTATTTGCAACACTTTTCGCAGTTTAGAAGTATTGCAAGTTCAATCCTCACATGGAGGTAAGTTGGCGTCCACGAAAAATCGACTTATCGATATTGTGAATGCGTTGCCAATGCTACCAGGTACGTTGAGCGGAGCCAGACTTCTGGGCAATCTGACAAAATTGCGAGTTTTACGGATTTTACCATACCTTAAAGATTTGGATAATGATACCTTTGTTGCAAACATAAAAAAATGGCCTGATTTAACAGAATTATGCATCTTTGGAGCTCAACAATTGAAAAGCCTATCAGTGTCATACCTTCCCAAATATTGCCCGCTATTAACTGATTTAACCTTAGAAAGATCAAAGGTAAATTTAATTTGCACACTAATTATTTGCCAACTAATTGAAATCTGTTTTTCTAAATCTATTAAAATTTATTTTTTCCACAGATAGATGACGAATCTGCAAGAGCACTTGCAACACTCAAGAAATTAAAGGAATTAAAAATTAATGGGAGCTCCATCACTGATGTAGGTGCAATGCATCTTCTCGCGCATTGCCCAACACTGGAACTTTTATCACTGAATCAATGCTACGGAATCTCTCTTGAGACAGTGCTGTACGGCTGGGATTTAGTTCATCAAGGGTTGGCTTCGAAAGAATTAGTAATCATTTATAATTTAACCCGAATCCGACCGAGCGCATACGCAACCCGAGAAGATTGCAGCAGGTATGAAGAAGGAGATATGTGGGCATCAGATGATGAGGTTTGCTACATACGTTCAGCCAATGAAGGAACTGAAGAAAGTAGAGAAGAGCACGAAGAGTATGAAGACCACCAGTTCGTTGGGAATTATGATTACATAGTAGATGGTGATCTTGAATCAGAAGAGGAGCTCACTTAAATTGTTTGCTCAATTTTTTAACATTTGCATTTTTACCACTCTTTGAATCTAACAATGATCTCATTCGAAACTTAAAAGTTTATTTTCTTAACAAAATCAATTTAAATTCAATTTATATTTCAATAAATATGATCTGAAACATTAATTTCAAAACTTGCAACAAAAACACAATAATTTTGATACTATCGATATATCGATCCTAAAGAATCTTTCAAGTTGCAGGTTGCAACACTAATCTTTTGATTTAAAGTAATGTTGTTTACCATTTTTAATCATCATCCCAGTTTATTCTCTATTGTTGATTAATTGCTTATTTATTAGTTAAGATGCCAGTGAGTCTACCATTGGTAATGGTTGGTCTGTTTGACCAAATAATATAGTATAAAGTCGGTTTTTTATTTTGCAAAATTTTGTTGAAACTAACCATCTGTATTACTCAATCCAAACTTCTGTCAAATTTTCTCACCATTTAAAGATATTGTACAGCATCTGTTTTATTTTATTTCTTTATTTATTCCTCTATTCATCCTAAAAATTTAAAATTAAGTGAACAAGATGAACCAAAAGGTGGTGAACACTGAGAATCATCTTGGTGTTAAAAATGAACCAAGCAATGCCTCATCGTCATCAACATCAACATTATCTACTTCATTTAATGCTGCTACAACATATACTCCAACAGCTTCTCTATTAACTGGTCCTATAAGTCAATCTTTGGATGGTAATTTGAAAGCCAGTGAAGATGATCTTCGTGAATGGACCAGAACTTATCATATGAGAACTTTGAATTTATTAAACTTTCCAACAAATGCTTCATCTAACCGAGTTAATTATAGAACTGTCATGAACAGAGCTAGAATCGGAATAGTCACAAGTGCAGCCAAATCGTTGAATGTTCTGAGACAAGCTCTTCAAAATAGTATCAATAATGAAATTAACACTATTTTACAAAAATATATAGAAAAATACTTCAGACCTTCCATAAGCAACATACGTAAAAATTTCGGTGCTAACTCAGGTTGGTTTTATTATTTGTTCATTTTCCTTGCAACCCACATCTCATTCCTTTTTTTCTTATACCTTTTAGTTTCGGAACAACACCTTCAGGCAGCTTGCCGTCAAATACTCGAAGAAGCCAAAAAAATGTACATCGGCTCAAATGTAAATTCATCAAATTCTGCACCTGTTAATAGCCCATCGAATGGAGAATTAATTGAAAATGGATCAGATTATGAAAATAATACCATAATTTCAGGAACCAAAAGGCGTCATCACCATCATCATCTCCCTATCAACCAACTGTTTGACTATGAATCAGACTCGGAAAGTAATTCCTTTCATAATCATCATCTTCGTCCGCCACCGGTTAAAAGGAAAAAATTCAAAGGCACATCTGTGGTGGGTAAAGTAAAATCAACTCCCGCAAAAGTGCAAGTTAAAGGGAACAGTTCAATTGACATTAAGAGAGAAGGTCCAAGGTGGGATCCAAACAGACTGAGTACGGAAACACGATTTGTTCTCGGATCGAAAGCAAACAAAGCTCTTGGTTTCGGTGCAACTCGAGGTCGATTGTATACTAAACACGCCGATCTTTTTCGATACATTGGTGACCAAGAAGATAAACAATGGCTACATGAGCATGGGTTCATGCCTCCAGCTGGTGGTAAAGCTTATCTCATAATTAAGGAAGACATAGAAGATTTGTTGATTTCTGACGAATATCGTGATGCTCCTGGGGTTGATGGTGACTCTATGGGAGTAGGATTCACTGTACCAAGCTATATTATTGATAAGATGAAGAAAACTATGGAAGCTCTGAGAAACGAAAGTGCTCGGTCAAATTTAATGAAAAATAACTCACTGGTACCACCAGTCATTGAATTAGCGCCTCCCGGTCAAAATTGTGATATTGTTGAAAATTCAAGCAGGGGACCTTCACCATCAGTTGACCTAGACTATTTAAGTTCAAATGTCGATTTGAGTCCATCAATCTCTCCACTTCCAACAGATCTGAGTTTAACTTCAAATGATATTTAATATTTATACCCTGTAAAATTAATCAATATTTAAGAGGAGTAAATCCTGTCAACATTCTATTTACGCTTAAGAAAATACTAATATACTATAAATATTATAAATTTGAAAAACAATGTTTCTCCAATTAATTATCAAAAAATATACCAAATTAATTTGAGTCTAACTGTCCAGATTGTATAAATTTTATTTGGATTCAGCTATTGATGCTTAAATTGATTCTTGAGATTATAATTAAATGATTGTGAAGGACTTATCAAATTATAATGTTCATTGTACGTAATCTGATTATATCTTTTAATTTAGTAATTTTAACTTTTTTATCATCTCTACATTCAAACTTGGTGGGCAAAGTATATCATAACTTTACGCATGTGCTAGATGGCAATGCATTTCACTGAAACCGTTGAATTTATTTTTTGTTTTGTTTTATTCTGTATTTAAATTATAATCAAAATGAAATTATCTGTGGATATAATCGAAGGTGCCGCTCAATATATTAATCCTGCTACCAAGGATCGAGAGTTGGATCTAAGAGGCTACAAGATTAGTGTTATTGAAAATCTGGGCGCTTCTCTGGACCAGTTTGACTGCATTGACTTCTCCGATAACAACATTCGCCGGTTAGATGGTTTTCCGCTTCTTTTAAGATTGAAAAAGATTTTACTCAACAACAATAGGATTAATCGAATTGCTGATGATCTCGACCAATGTATACCCAATCTGGAATGGTTAATATTAACTAATAACTCTATACAAGAACTAGGTGATATTGATGCTCTAGCGCGTTTACCTAAACTCGAATGCTTATGCCTTCTGAACAACCCTGTTGCCACAAAAAAATATTACAGAGAATATGTAATTTTCAAATTACCAACACTTCGGTTATTTGATTTTCGTAAAGTCAAGATGAAGGAACGAGAACAAGCCAAGGCCTTATTCAAAGGTAAAAAAGGTAAACAATTGGAGAAAGAGATTGGTATCAAGTCGAAAGTATTTGTCAGTGCCGCATCAAATGCTAATGATACGAAATCGAAACAGACTCAACCTGGTAAACCCGTTCACACACCAGCTGATGTTGAAGCTATCAAAGCTGCCATTGCAAAGGCTAAAACACTGGAAGAAATTGAAAGGCTTAATCAACTGTTGAAAGCAGGATACGTTCCCGGCAAATCGATAGCAGATGATCATGAAAATTTTGAACCAAATAATCGCTGAGCTTTACCAAACCAACCTGTGTAAAATAAATTTTTTATTTCTTTGGTAATTTAGCATTGATATTTTAATTTAAAATCGCGATGGTGGCTTTAAATTATTACCTTGGAATTGATTATCTTGAATCTTACCTGCTACCACAATAAATTCAGGATGAGCCATAATTTTGAAAGATGGTGAAAATCTGATTTCATTATCACAAATGATTCTAACAACTTGTAAGACTAAAATGCTATCATCAACATTGATCCTCAATCATCAGGATCAATCAAATTATTCTATTTACTCCTAAATTATACTAATATAATTTGTTTCAATGAAACACTCAAAGTTAAATCGGGTCAATTTAAATATTACTTGTTTAAGTAATAAAGGTAGCAAGAAAATGATTTGTTCATTTGTTCAATCTTAATCTATTTCTTCATTTAACCTAATTTTATGCTTCAACAAAAACAGTTTTGTCCAAGTAATGAAATTAAGCCAACCTTTAATTTCTGGAAAGGTAAAATAGTATACAAGATACACACACAATTTGGTTAAATGATTATAAGAAGGAAATAAACAGCTCAATTAAACTATTCTCATTATAATTTATTCATGATCAGCTAAATTAACTCTAACAATACAGACAAGCAAAGTGTATAAATAATCAAGTTTACACAAATAAATGAAGAGTTACAATGAAAAGTGAAAATTCATAAAAGCGAATCGTAAATTTTCTCAAATTTAAGCAATTACGTGGAGAACTTCATTTAAATCATTCAAATTTACTGAATAATAATCTAATGATTAGCCACATTAGCAACATTGACTCTAAAATGATCTAAAAATTTAATTTCAACATTGACTAACATCGTTTATTCAGGATTCCCTATTACTTAACTTTGCTTTTTGATATGGTTAAACTATCGATAATGTGATAACATAATTAGCAATTATATCGTAATGCTGATCAACTAATTGAACTCTATTAATCTTTGAATGTTTAACCTGATTGTAATTGAAAATGGTGTCAATGACAATGGGAACATTAACAATAACTAAACTACAAACCTTGACAGAGTTGATCAAAATTGATAGTTGAACCGGTTAAATATTGGTTAGCCGTTATATCAATGTTTTGACTCGTTATTATTGAAAATTTACAAATGAACTGTAAACTAATTATTAAATCTCGGTTTTTGATGTAAAACAATTGAAATTTTACTGTTAATTTAAACATTTCTTCATTGTCTAAATACAATCTTTTCTGTATAAAATGTCTATCTTCTTATTCAACCAAACGATTGAGTTTCCATCAAGTAATTTTGATTGATTTAAACTAATAGAAATGCAATCATCAATAATATTATAAAATTTAGATTTGGGTTGTTTTTAATATAAATTATATCGTCAACAAAAACCATTGTTTTACTAGCTTTGATAATCAGAAGAATGAATTGTAAATGCTGATGCAAAATATTGACTACAATAAATCCAAATCAGAATTTAATTTCTATTGTCAAGTTCAAACGTCATCAGATAATTTATATTGTTCCTATTTATTTTTTAAATTCATCATTTTAATCATGAGAATCACAATCAGGTAAATAATGTTTACAAGTAGCGAAATGTTGATGCTGATGATGTTAATGGTGATGCTGACTAGTAAACATTGATTAACCTTTGATGAAGATGACAATCTATTGTGAAAAAATGCTGGACAATACTTTATCTACTATAATTGAGTAATTAACTGAGTCAGTTTGTGGTATAACCCAATTGTAACCTTGATGGTTCATCAGCAATTTGTTTACATTCAACTGATCATTTGATTTCTCAGTTTTGATTGATGGCTGATAAGACCAATAAATACTGAATATTGGTTTCATTGATTTTATTTACACTCCAAATGACTAAATTAAACATCAAACAATTGCTTAGCTTCAAACATAGCAAGACTTTTTTTGTTTACCTTTTTAACCAAACAATCAATTCAATTAACTAATAAATTAACCTTTTTGTCGTTACCCGAGTAATTTATGATATTAATTTTGATGATTTTCATTCAACAACAAACTCAGCAATCTCGAGTCATCAGCTTTTCCCCCAATCTGTTCACATGTAAATGGCCATTGACTGCATAACGAGATGAATTGATATTCAAATGGAGGTTAAATGATCTTTTTATTAGCAAAATTTTTGACCTCAAATCATTGATTATTAATCTAAATAGTTTTTGACTCATCATTAACAGGAATAGATTCATTAATCTGACTACGCGATTGTTGTTAACCTTAACAGTTGCTCGGCAAAATTGATTGAATCCAACTTGAAGCAAGAGTTGATCATTTAAAAATAAAATATGTAAAATAACTAGTCAATGATGATGATTGTGAATTAACTAAGTATATTTTGTTGACAATTTACAATTAAATGCCCTTGTCAAACAATTTGTCCTCTTAAAGCATCAACAAAACCACAAACCTAAACATCAATTGCACAGACAAACAATATTAACAGCAATCTGAAAAGATCAACATCTACATTGATTATCCTTGATTAATATTATTAACCATCTTTAATGAATCTTTGTGATTTAAATATTCAGACGAGCAAGAGATTGAATCACTGTAATTGTTAATAATTGGTTGAATGATCGAGTTTATTTGCCTTGGCTCAAATCAGTGCACATTTGTGTTTTTTTTGTTTACTCATTAATTTCCTATTCATTGATCCTATTCATATCAGCTCGGCCAATTCATGATCAACCCTTTACACGAGACTGGAAAGGTTAATAATTACTATTGAACTTCAATTGATTTGATTAGGCTTCCTGATTTGCCTAAGATCTTTAATCTGGTGAGAAGTTAATGATTCCAATTGTTGGTACAGTTAATGGGGAGTTGAGGTGGGTTGATGATAATGAGTAAGCGAAAGTCTTGTGTGTTTGTGTTTAAATTTGATTGATGTAAGCATCATCATCAAGGTTGGGCGTGATTAAAATGAAAAATCAATTTAATTCAATTGAATTATCTATCAATATGAAACTTATCAGTTGATAGTTGGGAGCGGACCTAAACCATCTTCAAAAGTCTTTGTGATTGAGAAGGACAGTTTTCATTAACCATAATTCAGGACTCCATTGACCATTTTCACCAATCAAATTTTTCTCTTTTTCCAATCATGTTAATTAATTTTTGCTTCAATTGTGTATCATCAAACCAAATCATTACCAAGTAAAAGCCTTCTTTCAAACGTTTCTGACAATTTACAATTTACAAATCAATTGATCCACTGGACTTTTTGGACAACAATTTTCTAAAATAAATCAACTTGTTTTGTTTGCTTTTAAACTGTAACATTTGATTAGCCAAAAAGTTTGCTTTTGGTTGAAAATGAAGGATTCAATTGCCGTTGATCGAGCCGATCCAAGAGATGAAGACGATTTCATTATTGAGACTGTAGCCGATTCTAGTGAAACCAATTCAATTAAAACAGGAACTTCAACACTAGCTGAATCCAATGAAAACATACACAGTTTAACGCCTTTACCGAGACAATCCCATTTACGGTCAACTCCTGTCCTACGTCGAGCTTCAACATCTTCAATAAATTTCAACAGTACCAGTAAATCACCTTGTGCTTTACCATTACCGATTGACCAGTCAACTAAGTCTCCTTATCACACCAATAATTTACTGATATCAACAATTTCACACCAGGCCAACCTATCAGATTCCATGTCCTCATTGCCTTACTCTTATCAGGGTAAATACACCAATACCGGCGTCAATACTAACTATGGGGGTAACTATGGACGTAAAGCATCTATTGTCATATCAAATCTGCGTCGATCATCAGTCCAAGTTGTCATTTCTGTATGGACCTCATTTCGAGGAATCTTCTTTGCTTTCCTATCAGCCGTCTTTTTTTCCATCACCTCAGCCATAGTTAAACATTTATCAGAAATTCATCCAGGAATAATGTCGTGTTTCCGTTTCATTGGAATCCTTTTGTTTTCCCTTCCAATGGTCTCCGAAGTTGGATTCCGTAACATTTTAGGTCCACGAGAGTTACGATTTTGGGTACTACTTCGTGGTATTGCTGGAGCTACTTCAGTCTATCTGCGTTATTGTGCCCTTCAATATCTTCCCATAGCCAATGCAACCATCATTGTCCTATCAATGCCAGTTTTTGTTTGCATCTTGGCTCGTGTTTTCCTCAAAGAGCCTTGTGGTATTTTTCATGTCATCGCTCTTGCAGTAACTCTGTTGGGAATCGCATTCACGGCTAAACTTAATGTCATCTTTGGTTCATCTGAGGAAGAAGCTGCTGATGCTGGTATTGACAAGACTGCTCATCTTTTGGGCTTAGCCGCTGGAATGGGGGCCACTTTGGTTGGATCGTCATCCTATGTGATTGTCCGTAAAGTTAAATGTCTAGACCAGTCGATAATCTTATTCAACTTTGCTTGGGTGGCCATAATTGAGAGCTCGATAATAACTTATTTCCAAGATGGTATTCAACTACCGACCACCGTAATAGGAACCTGGCTTCTTGTAATTTTAACAGTTGCCTCTTTTTACGCTCAATTTTTATTAACTAAAGCACTTAAATGTGAAGAAGCTGGTCTAGTATCAGTCACTCGAGCATCATCTGAAGTTATCTTTGCTTTCTTAACGCAAATTTTTATATTTCAATCAATGCCTGATTGGTATTCTTATGTTGGCGCTTTCCTGGTAACAACAGCAGTTTCATTGACCAGCATTCGCAAATATATTGTTACACTACCAAAGGATAGTATTTGGAGACGTTTATTTGCATTCACATTAAAATAACAAGTGGAACCTCCGATCATGACTTATCGCAAATTTATTTTCACTGTTTACGATAAATTCAATTCACATTTAAAGACTCAAATTCTGAATTAAAAATTTTGTCAGATGGACAATCGTGGATGAAATTGACTTCAAATTTATCGTTTGGTCTCTTTTAGTTGAGGCACCAAATTATTAACCAAACTCTTTACTTAAAAGACTGTTTTACATATATTCCTAGTCCAACAATAAACCATCAAACTAAATAATCAAAAAGTTTTTCCCTTCACCCTGTTTAAGCGGAAATTTCTCAGAAACCTGTATTCTGCTTAAGCTCTAACTATTTTTCGGACATGTAGTTAAATCGCGGCTTTCAATTTGGGCAAAAATTTCCGGTAGAATCCTTTCCGTTTAATTACAATTTTTACACAAAAATTTGATGTTTTGACTCTATTTATTGTAAATTTATTTGACATTTATGTATAGATTAATGTAATTTTTCATTTGCTCATAGAGGCAGTAACAATCAGTAATTATCAGTAAAATTAAATAATGAAAGAAATGACGATCAGTTGATGATTAATGATGATTTCATTATGGTTCATGATGACTTTTGTGGGATTTAAAATTTGTAAATTGTTCAAATTGTTCGAGTTTCATTCAAACCAGCCTCTCCATCGAGCATCATTTTCAGCAGCAGCGGCAGCAGCAGCGGAAAACCTTTCATCGCCAAGTAACTCTAAGGGTGAAAAGCCAGAGACGCCTCCTTGTTGACCCAGCATAGCAGGGTTAAAGAAGTGACCAGAAGCCAGTGCTGCGGCGGCAGCGGCAGCCATGGCATTCATATTCATGTTAGGCCCGGATCCGTTTCCATTTGAATTTGTTTGGGTTCCACTTCCAGCAGCAGCAGCGGTGGGAAAAGAGTTGAAAAAGGGAAGGAAAGAGGGTAAAGTTGGATTGTATTCTGAGATTGAGGGTGAAGATGGCACGGTTGGCCGATGGACAGAGTTTAACATGGGATGGAAACCCGCTGGATAGCCTAGGACAGCGGCAGCCGAGCTCATTTGTTTGGCTAGATTGGGATGAAGTCGTTCCATTTCACGGAAAGCAATTTCTTGAGCAATCGTTTGTGAAGCCAAGGCAAAGTTTTCCGGTGTAACCATTGCACGTAATTGATTAAGAGTATTTGAAGATTGTAATTTAGATTGTACATCTCGATTGGCGGCGGACAATTCAGAGGGTGAAAATGGAAAGCCAGGTGGTAATAGAGGTAATTGTTGGTGTTGCTGTTGTGCTTGATGATGGTGGGATGAAAGAGGTTGTTGTTGTTGTTGTTGTTGTTGCTGTTGTTGCTGACGGCGTTGGTGGTGTTGATGATGTTGATGGTTAGAGAGACCATTAAGGTGTGTTTGAATTAAATGTTGCTGTTGCTGATTGAGATCTTTCAGACCAGACCCAGAGTTAGTGACCGATGATGCTGAATGATTTGATTTATCTTTCATTTTCAAGGCATTGGGTGAAGGACTTGATTTAATCAGTTGAGATCGATTTGAATTGGAGATAGTTTTGTGGTTACTTTGTGAAGAGGAATGATGTTTGGGTGTCGATGTTGTCCCAGTAATAGCCACTGGTGAAGAAACAGGCAATGGCGATGGGTTAACATGTCGTTGTTGTTGTTGTTGTTGCTGTTGCTGTTGGTTTTGGGTTTGATGGTTAACAGCAGCTTTGGATGAATTGCTTTTTAATGTTGTTCGCTCATAATTAACATTAATATTAACATTATTATTACTATTACTATTATTACTATTAGTATTACTATTAGAATTACAATTACTATTATTACTCTTTGGCACTTTAGGGACTGAATTTATAACAGCATTGTTATTAGCAGCATGTTGATGTGCAGAACGATGAATACTATTATTGGTATTGTTGTTGATGTTGTTATTACTATCCATAGAGTTATGGATAACTTGTAAACCAGAATTTTTACCAGATTTGCATTCTTTAACTCGTACTTTAGCACTTAAATCAAGTATGGTTGATGGTGAGGTGTCCTCAGAGGTCACTTTGTCTTTTGGTGTAACAACCTTTCGATCAACTTCAACAATCCTCTTTTTACTGACAGTTAAATCCAAAGGTAGCAACAGTGAATCCTGGTGTGAAGAAGGAGCAACTTTACGTTTCAATGAAGAGGAGGTAAAGTTGGGTGTTAATTTGGTACTTTTAGTGACTGAAGATGAGGTTGATGAAGATCCACTGGTAAAGGGTATTTGTTGTGTATACCATGGAGAGGGTAAGAAGGTGGCTGCATGAGCAATAGGAGGTAAACATGGCTTTTTGAGCAGGGAATTGTCTTTGGGTAAACCATCGATTGGATTGTCTTTATAAGTTGGAACAACCTTTACACAAGGCTTTAACGGTGTTTTATGGATAACACTTGGTCGACCAGAGGTTGTATTTGTTACATTTGAATTTAAACTGACATTAAGTGAATTATTGACCGTTGCATTAACCGTGGCAGCAACAGAATTTGATTTAACATTTAAATTGGCCTTTTTAATACCATTTACTGGTGGTATTGTTTCACTTTCATTGCTTTCAACTTTCATTTCTCTTGTCAAATGAACTTGCTGTTGTTGTTTAGCAGCATCCATTGCTGAAATAAGTGTTGATATAGACGATAAGGGTGAAGCAGCATTGTTTGTATCGACATTAACAGCACCATTAGCAGTGCTTAATTTATCTGACTTAGATAAGTTTAAATCAACTTCAACATTATCATCGGTATCACAGTCATCAGTTCCGGTGGTTAAATTTTTGTCCCTCTTATCATTATTGGTATCATCATCGTTACACTTGTTACTTTTCAAGCAATTAACCTTCTCATCAGCAGATATCTCATCAGCTGACTTTGATTCAACTTCACTTTTGATTGGTTTCATATCGTCTCCATCAAGTTCACTATTGACCGACTTTAATTCAATTTTATCAACTTTCGTTTCATTTAAATCTTTATTGGCATCATTTTTCACCTCATCTGCACCATCCAAGTTGACCATGGATGAACCAGGTTTAACATCATCAGTTGTCTCAAAATTTGATACTTTATCTATTTCCATGTTTTCCTCAACACCAACAGCTGACATTTGAGAGGTTGGTTTACGCTCTGATTGTGAACAGTTTAAATTATCTTCAACACTTGGACTGGCTGTTGATTTAACAGGACAAGTTAAACTTTTCCGTTCATTTTCATCTTTACACTCAACTTGACTCTCATCTCGACTCTGATTAGGCAAACCATTTCTAGATGACAATTCATCATCCGAACAATTATTAGAGTCTTTATCAATTTTCCGTTCCGATTGACCAGATTGACTTTCCTCACTTTTAACCAACTCGGCTTCAACCGAACAACCATCAACAATAGATGACTTGCTAGCCTCTTCTTCATGCAACTCACTGTTTAATGATTCACTTTCATCGTCATCGGTTGCAGACGAGGTTGACCCATTAGTCGAGGCAGCAGCAACCGTAGCAGGAGCACTCGATGAACTGCCTTGCTGTAACCGTTTAGACTGACGAACACCTTGCCGTCTATGGCGATGACGATGATGACCTCGACGTCCTTTTCGTTCTTCAGTTACCATTGAAGTTGCACTTGCAATTGACTGATCATCATCGAGACCCTCTCCACCTTTAGTCGATAGCTCGGGTGATCCAAGTGGAGATATTGATCGACCCCGAGTCGATCGACGATTAGTTTTGATTCCTCGAGCTTCATTCAAATGCCTCTCAAAAGGCAACAGCAACCTTTCAAAATGCCTTCTCGTACAAGTTGCCGCACTAGTGCTTCTCGGGTCACCGCCAAGGCGATCATAAACAATTTTCCATATCCTTTGCTTGGTAATCCTTTCATAGCCTCCAAGTTTCTGAGTTAAGGTGAACAAGTAAAATAGGTCAACTGTAAGAAGAAAAAAAAATGTGCAAAATTAATACATTGAATTGCGAATAGTAAATTGTCTAAACAAAAGTTGAACATTCGTATTCATCAACTAAATCAATTTAAATTAATATGTAAATTAATGTCGACAGCGACAAGGAAAAGGTGATAAAAAGATGATCAATGAAAGAAAAACTTTTTTCTATTTTTACCAAAAAAATCATGAAAACCTTTCAACATTTTCATTGAACCTCATGTAATAGATTCCTTCATTAAATGGTTCAATCTTTCATTATCATGTTTCCTGTATTTTTCATGTTTTCACAGACATTTAAACAACAAATTGAACAATAAAATTATTGCGCTTGTTGAGAAATTAATTTGTCTCCTTGCAAATTACAATCAATGGTGTAATTTAAATGAATAATCAATTAAGGTGTTGGGCTGAGAGAAGCAAGAAAAAGGTAAGAAAACAATTGATTGAATGTTAAAATACAGTAAACAATAAAACAATATTAAATGGAAACATTAACTTGAACAGAATTGCCTTTTGAATCATTGATATAACAATAATCATGATTTTGCGTCCTTCATCGACTCTCATTTCAACTTATTATTCAATTGACTATCACACTCTATTAAATTACATGATAACAAATTACTATTCTGACCTTTTATTTCACATTTTGGATGAAAAGGAAAAAAATAAAAGACCAGAAAAGAAAAAGTTATTCAATTGTTTCCACTAATTTTGATCATTTGAATGTTTTAAAAGAGCAAAATTGTTGAAACATTTTCCACTTTGTTTATCAAATTTCAACAAGGAATAGTGATAAAAATAATTTTGAAAAATATCTCACATTTCCTATTCTGATAATCTGATAATGATGGGAAAAGAAGTCACAAATTTTTATCATTTACAGTTTGCAAAGAAACAATTTTATCAATTTTCAAAGTCAATGAGTTTTACAATAAACAGAGATTGTTGGTGAAGATGAAAATGATGAAAAGTAAACGAAATGATGATCAAGAGATGATAAAAGATACACAAAGAGATGGAGCAAAAAACAAGTTAAAAATTGGACAAGATTCATTTAAAAGCGACTCATGTTATTGGATCGATATTTGGTTGAATGAAAACAACTTCAATATTCATTCTCACTTTTCACTGCCTTTTCCCTCATCTTCATCTTTATGCAACTTGTTATCGCCATTTCAACCATTTTTCACTCTTTTCCCTCCCAATCCTTGATAAACATTTCACCATGTTGTTGCTACGTTCACAAAGATATTCAATTTGACCTAAAAAAAGATCAACAATTAAAACACTTATCCAAACCTTAACTCTTTCAATTAGATGTTCAATGTTTACCTTTCTCTTGATCTTGACTTTCATCAACAATCAACCTTTAAATTACCTTTTGGTTCAACATGAAACAATCATAAACTTGATCTTAATTGACCAGCTTTTCATCTTTCCTTCACATTTCAATCTTTTCCACTTTTCATTATCATGTCTCTAAGGTTGCCTGAAATTATTGATAGTCCAATGATTTTATCTGCTAGTTCATGGAATCATGAAAGACGCAAATGCCAACCATATGTAATCAGAAGCTTTTTTAAACATTTTCATTGCAATCATTTGCTATGAGAGATTGAACAATGTCAACCTCAATGTTTCCATTATCAAGTTAACCAGAAGAAAAGAAAGTTTCTCTGAAATTCATTTGATAACCAATCCACATATTCAAGTGAACACCAGAAAACTCATCACGGATGTTATCTCAATTGTAAGTGAAAAAATGATTCTAAATATGTTCAATATCATGGGCAGTTAGTCAATTATAGAAAGTTAATTGCTGTTAGGTAAAAATAATGAAACATTTTAGTTTTACAAGGAAAACATATTTATGTTGATAATGACGATGTGAAAATGTGTATTTACAATTGGATAAGAAAAGGAAATAAAGAAGAGTGAAAAGGACTAATTATCATCAATTTGATGAGTTGAAATGAAATCATAGATTTTTCATGAAAATCGGAAGGAAGTTTAATTGCCAGTAAACAAGTGAATGCTTGGCTAAGCTAACACGATGCCAATTGATTGCAGCCTAAAGGTGCTGAGAAATGATCATTAAAGTAAATTATTGAAAGTTTGTTTACCAGCAAAAAAATGAACCTTTTTTGTATTCATTGCAATAAATGGTAATAATTTTAGCTGATTAGTTTTAACCACAAATGCGATAAAAAAAGAGTTTCCCCTTTTCAACGATTCTAATTGAATAAGTTTCATCAATCCTGAGTCAAGATGAGGTAAACATGAGATTGATAATGATTGAGAATGAAAAAAAGGGAATGAAAAAGGGTTTAATCAACAGATTTGGAGAAAATAAAATCTCATGAAAACAACATCAACAGAAACATTATCTATCATATAATTCAAGTGAATGAAGGAAAAATGTCATTACATTTAGACAACTCTTTCTGCTTCCAATTCAACTCTTTCCATCTTTTCCCTCATCTTTTCAAGCTCACTCAGCCTCAGAGAGATTCTTGAATTTTACAAAATTCATACAAACCCACCATCAACACTGACACCACCCAACTCGAAATCTTTTTTTTTATCATTTTCCTTTTTTCGCCTACTTTTTCCTTCGCCATTTCACCATCCTTCTCATCCTCATCTCATCATTTTCATCATCAATAATTTATCTTCTTGATACATCTGAAATCAATTGGGATTCACCATTCACACGCAATACCAGCCAATATAATTGGTTGACAGTTATGCGTAAATGTATCTAACTATCATTTTATTATTATAAATTATTAGACAATTGTTAATAAAGAAATGATAACTTTTAGTAATCATTTGAAAAATCACGCAATCAATGTTTTCTTTCAATACCTTTAAATCAACCTTTAGCAATCAGAGGAAAAAAATATTGAAATATTTTCATGTTTTGAACTCTTTTTTTTTCTTGATATTGAACATAATTCTGGTGTTAGTTTGATAGATTAATCATTTGTAACTTTAGGAAATATTGTTTCCATGTTTTTGTAAAGTAAAGTGAAATGGTGAGCAAAAATAACTACAAATGTAATAATAAATTTTAGCTAAATTGCGCATTTAACCACATTATCCAATCAATCATTGAGATTAGATTTGATTAAGGGAAGAAACATTGAAAAGATAATAATAAAATCAAGAGCAAATAATTACAGGATACTTTACAAATACAATGATGGGATAATTACTTGATAACTTAGTTTTTGTTAACAACTTGTTATAATGATGAGAGGATATAAAAATGTCTGAGTAATGTTTTTAATCTGGTCAATAAAAGATTGAGTTGTTTCAAGCAATATTCATAACCAGGAGAGAGAGAGAGAGGATTCATTCATTATGGGCATGATTGTGAGAAGAAAGGAAAGAAAGGTTAAATTGATTATGAATCGATAAATGAACATGAAAAATGGCATTAAATTAACTACTAACTAATTATGTTCAACAATGGTAAAGACAGGAGACAGAAGATTGAGAAAAGGCGAAACATGGATAATTAACTTTTTATCAATTGTTCATTTAGTTCAGCTTTTTCAACATTTTTATCAACATAATCTAGTCACTGATGATAATTACTAGGCATGCATACAGAGAGAGAGAGAGGTTAAAATGAGTTACAATCAGGATAAACTTACAGACACACTCACCAAACAACAATTAAAAGTAACAATAATCATCAAGAAACTCCCAGACCACATTGGATAAGGATGAAAATAGAGAAGAAGAAGAAGAAGAAGAAGAAATGAAGGAAAAGAAGAAGATGGAGAGAAATGAAGGAAAGAATGGAATGGAAAGGGAAGAAAAGTAAAGATGAAAATGCAGTGAAGATTGGAAGACAAGTAAATAAGCAGAAAGGTTAAAGGATAAATAACTTGGGAAAAGTTGAACATTATTTGGTTCATGGTATCAGCATCATTTAACCGTAAATTAAAGTTTAAATTGCATCACCTAGGATCAACATGATTTAGGTAATCTGTGTAACAGTAACATTTCAAGTTGTTTTTCTGTGTGTTGGTAATGATCATCATCAAGAGTAAGTTAATATGGTTAAATTGATAAGTGATTGAAATTGATTGTGCATTCAAATAGTAAAATGAACACAATTTAACAATTTGCAAAAACACAAACTTTTAAATCATATTTGACATTGAAATTAAATTGACTCTTTTTGTTTCAATTCATCGATTGATTTACAAGTTGACTTGATGTTGCTTTGTTTTTGTAAGCAAACCAATTATTGAAAGCAACTTTTATCTGATCAAATATTGATTAATAGATGAAACAGTATCAGGAGCAATTCATTTCATGAAGTAAACTCAATGAAAACCTGAATCTCAACATTAACAGTTTTGGACCGATTCTTCTTCTTCTTCCAACAATATTGATTTTTGTTTCTGGATCAAGTAAAAAGAGTTTCACCACAAATCATGAAAATCTGTTCACAATTGGCCAACAATTTAAATTGCAATTGAGAATTAAACTTTTGATTAAAAGTTAAATTTTTTTAACAGACAATATTAAGAGTTAATTTGCTTCAAGGTTGGGTTGGAATGAAAAGTTTACTTGAAATGATGATAATAAATAATGAATCAACCAGTTTTGCTTTGTTTCCCAAAGAGGCAACTTTCAATATATCATTAATGTAATATCATCATCTTCATCATTAACACATTTTTCAATAGCAACAATCTATCATTTATCATCATCATCATTATCATCAATATAATCATGAGATTATCAGAGCTTTCTTTCAAATGTATTTATCAAGTCTTTCGATTGATTGCATCTCTACAAAAATAACAGGAAATCAATTGGGAAGGATAAACATGAAAATTTGAATAACAGCAAAAGTAAAGCAAAAGTAAAGCAAAAGTTACTTGTCATGAGTAATTCAGCCTTTTACTTTTTTCTCATGGCAACTAAAGAAGAAGAAGAAAAATCCATGAAAAAAAGA